CCCCAAAACCCCAAAACCCCAAAACCCCAAAACCCCAAAGGGCTAATCTTATTGAAATAAATATTTTATTTCTCCTTTAACACTTGCTGAGTTTTTACTTTCAACTGTTTATTTCCTATCTCGAACTTCTTGAGGAACTTGTTCAGTTTGCTATTGCTAAAATTGAGCACGTGCAGAGTTGAGGATCAGTAAGACTCGAGATTTGACCCTCCAAATACCACCATTCTATCGTCACTTAAGGCTGTTGTACAATGGCTCCATCTTGAAGTTGGGTGAAATCCATATGTTACCAATATATCCCATTTATTGTTTGGAATATCATACAAGCAGATGTCATTCAGTGCTAAGTTCTTGATTTTCTGAAAAACTATATCGCTCTTGCCTCCATAAATAATCAAATATTTTTCACTCAGGTGAGCAGCAGAGTGAAGGATTCGGAGAACTGGAGGATTTCCATCAGGTTGTAGTTGAGTAATCTCAACATTGAGCTCAACATCTTCGTTCTTCTTATAAACACGATGTTTTGGCTTGATCAGGAATAAATCATTAGTTTGACCTCTTCCTTCAACAAAGCCTCCGAATAGATAAATTCCCCAGTGGTTTGAGCTTAAGTACTTAGGATTATCCTTAGCATATTTCTTCCAAATTGTAGAAGTATACCTCATCTTGGATTCTTTGGATACAACGGTTGTCATTGTGTGCATTCATCTCTTGCCAATCTTCGAGTCGGTGAAGACGCTAGGCTTAAATAGTTCTACCCATTTTAGCTCCTCTCAGTTGTAAAGGTACATGTCTCCATATCAACTTTTATCCTCAGTGTTGATTCCTCCTTGGATAAACATGATATGACCGAACAGTGCGCTAGCATGGTACATTCTTTGGTCAGGCTTGATAGCTGAAGCTCTACTCTTATCAAAATTGGCCATCCATTTCTTTTGTCAAATGTCATAAATGACAAGATCCTTGTAAGATACTCTCATATTTGCATTTTTATTGTATTTTCCTAGATAAAATTAGTGAATTACTTACCTGCACCACCAAAGATAAAGAAGAAGTTCTTGTATGTCACCATTGTATGGCCAAATCTTTCAAAAGGAATATCATATATTTCATTATTTGGAGAAATAGTGGTCCAAATGTTCTTGTGGATATCAAATCACCTGATCTCATTATACACATTTGTGCCAAAACCTCCATATAAATATAATTTATCATCTTGAAAACCCATTGTTGCTCCTTCAAGTGTGGGAGGGATTACTCCAGAAGCATCTTTAAGAGGCTTCCAGAAGGCCCTATGAATGTTTTTGTAATGCACCTGTTTCTTAATTTCGTCATATTCCTTTATCAAGTCAAGTTCTTGCTTTCAAAATTTCTTTGTGTAATCAATTCCTTTGGTCTTCTGTTGCTCCAGGAGATCATTAACTAAAGTAAAGTCTATCAGATTGAGCTCTCTGGTGCAATCTCCTGTAAACACAGGACTAGTGACTGTCTTAAGAAGCCTCTTGCAGTCAAATAGAAGCTGTCTCTTATCTAAAACTTCTTCGAGAGGGTTGATGGCTGCATCAATAATTTCATGATACTTCCTTAAAGTAGTTCTATCATCCCAGTATCCTTTTGGGAAGTCAATCCTTAAGTAATTCATAAACTTGTGAACGAATGTCTCAGGAGAGATCACAGAGCTGTTGCAGTGGCCTGGCTTGATTATGCATCCTTTCTTGTTCTTTGGCCTATTCTTCCAGAATAATTTCGAGTCTTCAAGCTCAAACTCATTAGCTTTGCCCAAAATACTATTGTTCAGAGATGAAGCCATTCTTATCGCTGGGAAATCTACATTTTAAAAGGAGAATTTACTATGCTTCTTATTAGTGTTAAGATTTCTCTGGTTTTCTTCCCGCACACGGGAGAGGAATTTTTGACTCCCAGAAGCTCTCATGGTCTTGATTTCTTCCATTGATTTCTCTTCTTCCATGCTCTGTAGCTCTCTTTTAAACATGACGTTTTCATTTTTGAGATCTATCTTGAAATGGTATGTTTCCATATCCTTTTTGGGAAGCTCTTCATTATAATTTATTCTATTAAGACTCCCTTGACTCTGATTTATAGTGAAGACCTTCAGGCTTTGTGAGGGCTTAATATTCTCAAAAGATCTTTCCTTAAGCCTAGCCTCTTTTCTATCAGGATGCTCTGAGATCTCGTTCATTTTGAGTTCTGATTCGTTCATTAGTCTTGAAATATGCGCCTTTTTATTTGTTAAGAACTCTTCGAGTCGAGGGGATAACTTTTTATTACCTAAATAAGAAATATTCTAAAAATATTACCTTGCATAATCCCTTTAAATTGCATATTATCAAAACTTGACGCTATCTTTGCCCTCGGTAGTGATCTCTTTTTATTTAGTTTTACCTGAGGAGACTGTGAGCTTCTCTTTAAGAATCCTCATTTCGAAAGGAGTGAGAGAGTCATCACCACGCATCTCGACTGATCTATCTGGCATACTCATGTTTATTACAGGCTTGACAAACTTTGGAACAAATTTAGTCTCGCCTAGAACGGTTTTAGAAACAATCTCTTTGTTCTTTTGGCGAGCTTTGAGGATCTTCGAGTCATCAGGACTATCAATATGCCTTATAACATTTTTATTTTTCTCCAGAGATCCTTGCTTAATCGTCTTCATAAGGGCAGGGTTGTCCTTTTCATTTCGTAGTAAGTTCCGAATCTTACCTTCTTTGATAGCTTTCCTGATCCTTTGGGTGTCAAACTTGTTAACAGAAGTGACTAATTTATTATATTGGGTCTGTCTCATCGCTTCGCTGCAGGAAAGATGGATCTTTACATCGTCTTTTTTATCCTTAGCGAGGAATTTAGATTTTGAAACTACGATGCTGGATAAAGAAGGAGCTAAAGAGTCCATCTCTGATTTCCCTTCTAGGGATACTTCCTTGTCTGGCATCTGGCCTATTCTTTTATTCATGGAGACGGGAGTGTCTCTAGAGGAATCAGGTTCCTCTTTCTTTAGATCTGGCAGCATTTTCAATAATATTTCTATTAAGTGGGGTTTTGGGGTTTTGGGGTTTTGGGGTTTTGGGG